GGAGCTGATGAGGGGAAGCCGTATAGGAGAAACATGCTCTCTCTTTCTAGTCCCTGTCAGTACTCGTGGTGCAGCATTTTGGATGCATACATACAAGTGTTTTTAACTGTGGATCATATCAGAATACTTTATTAATCCCGAGGGAAATTTGGGTTAATTAGGGATATTTCAGGTGATTTGAGATAGTGGACAGAAACAGCAGGCATGGTTGGCAAGTTTTAGCATGTCAGACAGAAATACTCTTCTAAGTATTTTTATGTACTAATGATTTTATCTGTCTCTTATTTATGAGTCATCTGCATGCAGGAGAGTTTTCTTTAGCTTCCTCTGTTGTGCATTGTGGTCTATTGGAAGTATTCCCTCATATCTTGTCAGATTCCTATTTATTCCAATAAGCAGAGCAGCCACCTGCGAGAAAAGATAAAATCTGTGTGTGTGTGTGTGTGTGTGGGTGTGTGGGTGTGTATTTGCCTTCAATAACAAGTTGAAAAGGTAAAACCAAGCGAGCATAAATGTAGGATTTAACGCTCTATGTCACCTCCATGTTTCCAGTAAATATTGTATCTCTTACTATGATTCCTTCTTGGAGAATAGTACCTGCTTCACTTGGGCTGCACTCAGCCTACAGTTTTTTTGTTTCCAGATAAATCTTGCAATCAAGTCCCTGTCGCATTAGTTCACACCATAAAACCAAAACCCAATTGGTGGTATTTTAAAATCAAGTCTAACTAGCCTTACAGGTCTCAGTATCAAACAGCAACAAACGCGGGGTTTTCTGTAAGTTGCAAGTCTTGACTTGAATTTTGTTTCTCTCTCTTTACCTGTTTTCATCGCTGAATGGCCGGTTTTATGTACAATTAGTTTTCCTGGATCACTGCACACAGTTCCGTCAAAAGGAGGTAGGAGGGATTTGTTAAGGTAGGGAGTTAAATAGTACCTCAGATCTCAGATAAAGCAGACCCGAGGAAAGGAACACAAGGTGAGTCCATGCTACAGAGCTTACAGAATACGCTTTCAAATATATGATTCAAACTGAATCTTTTCATTTTATCATTTTGAATAATGTGAAGCTGCCTTTAGGTCTAAATGATACTAAAAAGCTGCCTGAAGTCACATCAGTAAAAAGGAGCACTGTGAGGATGTTGTTTGGGCAAATTTACTCAGCGGGGTAAATCAGAAAAATGCTGATGTGAGAGAAAAGCGCAGAGTATTTTCTACTAATAATGCGCTAATTTGTTAACAAAGATGCAGTCAGTTCGTTTCAGTAAAGAACTACAGTATATGAAGAAATCAACAGCAAATCAGCGGATCAAACACGGTGGTGGAGCAAAAGAAACAGTAAACGGTTCTCTCTGAAACACGGCAGTCAGATAAATGAGAGGCTGATGAAGCGTAATTGAAATGATTTTGAAAAAGGGTTTATATTTACACACCGGTGCATATTTACACACTGGATCTTATAATAGTGAAGTGCATTTGTCATGCATTTCATTTTTAAATAGCTTTTGTTCCTATTACTGCAAGATATCTGTGTTTCTTTCTCTTGTATGACTCTGCAGCTCAGATGGAGGAGACGGCAGCTGACAACAAGGTAAAGGAATTTCACCGATGTCCTTATCTCACAGTTACATCGTCGTGGTAATAGGATTTTCTGTCACTTTGAGTTTTGGATTCTTTTATTATCATTATTACATTTTTAGTTTAACTTTTATTTTATTTTGCTTCAGTTCTTTCTTTTTTTTTTGACTTGTTCCCCTAACTGTTCTGTGTTTGCACCTTTGTCCTCCTGCAGTCCTGTTTATTTGGGATCTTGTTTAGAGTTAGTCTTTGTGTGTCAGTGCTCTTGTTTATTTCTACTTCCACAAGTTACTTTGGTGGCTCGCGTTCGTTTGTTTCTCCTTTGTGATTGTTCTGCATGCTTTCAACTGTGTGAAATTACTTTCACAGCTTCTGTCTCTCATTCCCCATCAGCCCTCATTGTCACAAACACTGTGTACGGTCCCTCGTGTGCTCTCCAGAAGGAGGTCCTTGTTATTCATCACTGGCTTTTGTCTTTGTTTTTGTTAATGTTGGGTTTTTTTTACTGGTTTTTAAAGGCTCACTTATTGTTGGAGCAGTTCAGCCTGCATGCCACATTTGGATGCTCACCTCGACATTCCACACACCTGTTGTGACCTGCATTTGGTTTATGGTGTCAGATTTGTCACAAACAAAAATGTCACTAAACAGAGTCATAAATACAGGATTCTAAACAAGACTATGTAGTATTTTCTATGTAAAGATTTAGTAGAAAATGGCATCCTGTGTAAATAACAAAGTCACACCAACCTGGTATGTGTTGTAGTTCAGGTTTCTCTGTTCATGTTTGGATAACCAGTTTTGGCCTTTTTTACACAAAGAAAGAAACATAATCTTTACAGGATGCAGAGTAAATGTGAGTTTACATCTAATGTTTCACTCTGAACACTGAAATACTGGTGGAAGTAATGCTCAGGATTTAGAAAGTGATTAAGTGTAATGATGTGGGCGTTTGTTGTCTTTGTCTGAAGTCCAAACCTGTTGGGCTGTCTGTAAATAAAACACACTTAACTGTTTTAGTCTGAAATCCTACTGTGATATGAGTGGTTCTAGATTTTTATCGTCTCATATTTAAGTAATTTTGTTTTTCATTCAAATGAGCATTTATTAAATATACTTGAACCTCTCTTTTTCATCTGAGATTAAAATGTTTTGATTGAATGTTTTGCCCTATAATAGAAGAACAGAATAGCTCTTTATTGTCATTGTACATGCACAATGAAATTATGGAAAAACACACTGTAACTCTTTTCTTAGTGCCATCCAGCGAATGATGCTCATGAAGCTCAACAACCAGAAGAGAATGAGGAAAAGGGCAAGACTAAAACTACGTCTGAATCAGTTGCAGATAAAGACAAAGGTAATATTTTTAATCAGAAGCTTGGATTTTATAGCTTATATTTGCATTTTAAACTTACTGATTTTGTTTGGTTTGTTTCAGAACTGCCTGAGCTCACAATTGTGTTACTTGGTGACACAAATTCCATGGAGATTGGGCCAAACAACATTTTACTTGACCACAAAGAGAAATCCAATGTGGATCAGTTTTCATCCAAGTTGTATGATATGTGTGGTCGGCAAATCTCTGTCATTAATATGATCGGTCTCCAAAATGTTGCTAAAATCCCATCAGATCAGGCATTTCATGTCTTTCTCTTACTGGTACCATATGGTCTGCATTGCAGCCATTACAGCTCAGGGATTCAGTGGCTAGAAAAGACGTTTGGAGAAGGATTTCTTCCTTATGTAATGACTGTTGTAACTCATGAGCCAGGTGAAAAATGTGAAAGTGCACTGGCAGACCTGAAAGCTAACAGTGGTTTGACTGAAAAAAGATTCCACACATGTACAAAAAATATGACAGATGAAGATGAGATAATAGCTCTGTTAGAGAAAATAGATATCATGGTCTCTGAAAACAATCCCCACTGCTACAGTGGACTGATGTGTGATGAAGACAAAGACGAGGATCATCTGCAGCCAAACAAAAAAGAGGATGAGATCAGATCTTCAGGTTATCAGCATAAACAAAAAGGTGAGATGTTATGATGGAGAGAACTTAATTCCCATAAATACAGGTTTTTATGTTGAATGTTGTTGTTTTTATTTTACTTTTAATGCTTTTTATTGGTTTTTCGCCTGATTTTTGCTCTTGGCTTTCCAAAAATATTTTTATTAACATCCAATTCCCAATTACTGTAGAAATTAGCAGTAGATGTAGTAGAAGTTTTATGTTATTAACTCCATAACTGGTTTGCTTGAATGTTTACAGTGACCATTTCGTTTTAACAGGATTTACCTCATGTCAGCAAAATGCCCCCAACTATATATCAGATCCCCTCATTGTAGGGGTCAGTTTCTTTTTCCTTAGTTTAACATTTGAGGCACTGGTTTATAGTTATTACTTTGAATACATAAACCAAACAATCCTCACCAGTTACTACCAGAACATATAGCTTTGAAATAGAAACAAAAACACGAATAACATGCCTTCACATAGAAATGAAAAAAATATAGCTTCCCAATCCCACTAACACTTTCTTCCCTGAGAAGCTCATAAGAGTTACTCAGTCCAGGATCAGGATAATTCATTTAACTGCTCAATGACGCAGCTGTTACAGTAGTCCATGAACATGGGTTTTCTGGGTTTCAGGAATATCTATTACGCTGTAATTAAATATTTTAGTGGAGAAAGTGGCCTTTTGTATTTGTGGCTATTGGTAGCTGTCAAAGCTGAGCATTAGTAATTATGGCTACTGGATCCTGTCAGGGGAATGCCAGTGGCGGCTGGCTAAGGAGGTCGTGCCCCGCCCCCACCCAGCTGCTTCCAGGTTGACCATCTCAGGGGAAGACCCCCCATTTTCAATGTTTGTATGGGTGTCAAGCACACACAGTTTTGCTGCCAGACCTAGACTCCTGCGAGCACTGCTGCATAATGCAGATTGTTGGCAGGTGTTGGCAGCCTGAAAAGCCATTGCTTGTGTTTCTGACACGACAGCGAAGCCTAGTGGTGAATCCAGCTCAGCTGCTGCTTGCAGGGTGGACATAGTCGAGGACACGGAGGCTCATTTTCCTCCTAGACTCTGAAGAAGGGCACAGAGAAGATGAGGAGGAGGATATTAACAAACATATCCTTGGAGATGAAAATTAGGTGGATGAGGAAGATTCCATTCTTTTTTCCTTACAACTATAGGCAGATCACACTACTCAGCCTTCCCAGGAAGGCCTGTGCTAGGGTACCAGAGAGGGGAGTCCATCCATTAGTTGAACCTCAGATTGAAGAACAAGTCATGGAATGCTAAACCAGCTCTTTGTCCTCTCTGGGCTGTTTGAGTGTGTATGGGAGTTTTCCCAACCACTCTACATGTGCTTTGTAGACTTGCAGAAAATAAGCCACCATGTTGAAGGATTCTGTGGTGGGTACTTTCTGAGTATTGGGTACCTGGCCCATTCTTATGAGCCTTTCGGTCCCTGCACAATCTCAGTGAGACCCTAGTTTGCATTACCAACAGTAAGTCATTTTTATGAGGCCATGGTTCTTAGCTGGAAAAGGGTTAGTGCCCAGGGATGAGTTGCAGCCCCAAGTGGAAGTGTTTAAGTTTCTTGGAGTGTTGTTCACAAATGAGGGGAACAAGAGAACTCTATGGATCCCAAAAAGTTGATTCTGTTCATCTGGGCGTAGGGTTTTCAGTGGGAGAAATGTTTCGTCACTCAACAAAGTGACTTCTTCAGTCTCAGCTGACTGCAGGTTTCCCCAATCTTATAAATAGTATATTGGGGAAGATTGGGGAAACCTGCACCCAGGACCAAGGAGAGGGAGGTCTGGGCTTCACTGCATCTTGGCCTTGGACTGGACTGGTTAGATCTAACTGAATGCAGGCAACCCTACAAATAGAAACTGAAGATGGCTGCATTAAAGGCCTGGCAGAGCATCTCAAGAGAGGAAACAGCATTTGGTCCATGTTTTTTAGAGTTCAGTCAGTCATTGACTGCAATGGATTCTCATCCAAATGATAAAACAATCCTGATCTAAAATGATGTCATTCTGTCCAATTAATTTCGAGTCGTTGAAAACGGAGGCTTATGAATAAAAATGGCTGTAATTCGTATAAAAATTAACACAACCTTTTTTGTAAAATCCCTTTAATTAAAGCTAAAAATCTTTTCTTCCATCACATCTTGATTGTTTGATTTAAAATCCACTGTGGAGGAGTATAGGGGCAAAACTACAAAAATAGTATCTTCATTTAACTAATTATGGAACCACCATTCCTAATTATTTAGAGAACTTAATT